GTCCGGATGACATCCGATAATTGAAACGGATTCAGCGAAATGGATTCCGATGGCATGAAAGTGATGTGGGTCGGTGTCTTACCGGTTGGAATGCCTCACCCCCAGTGAGCTCAGGCCAACTTGCGTCACTGTCACGGAGAGGCTGAGATGTGGTTTTTCAGAATCTGTGGCTCAAAAATCGTTCCTGTTTGCATAGCCTGCAGGCAGACGCTGAAGGCGCTAGCAACAAACATCATCCCTTGGAGAAGGAAACAGCCACATACGGAAGGAATGATGGTTGGATGGCAGCTGTCTACAGGAAGTCAAGTAAAAAAAGTCAAGATGTTGGCCACAACCATGCGACCAAAGCCCCGCCCCTTTTCTACGCATGCACAGAAAGGGGGCGGGGCTTTGGTTGCTTGGTTGTGGCTGACTTTTTTGACACCCCTGTTGGAAGATAAAACTTAAGGAGCACATTTTGGGCCCATGGGGAAACGGTTATGCATGGGCCCAACCTTACTAATTTATCTGAAAAATCTGTTTTATTATTAAATCTTCAGACCGTCAACCATGGCAGTTTGTAGGTGCCCAATGGGACAGAAGGTAAAGAAGCAGGGAGATGGTTGGTGGGGACAAACAGACATTTTTGATTTCATCCCCACTCCCCTCCCTTGCAAAGCTTTAAGGCTGCACATTTCAGTTACTTAATTTAAGAATAACGTCTTTCCTTCATTCAGAAGAATTGCATGCTGGAAAAAGGGGTTATGGCCTCCGCGTTCCACCTTATAGCCCTCCTGGAAGAATTTGTTCATGTTTATTTCATTTATTTTTTTGAAACAATTTCTGTTTAAATAAATCCACAGCGATCTCGCAGTGCCCATCTCATTGCAATGACTCTTTGAGGTGTGCCCCCATGCACACACAAACACAATATGCGATAAACTTCGCATCCTTTCACCTCCTTGAGCGTGCCTCTGCTCTTCCGCTCCACAGCTGCCCTGCACAGATTGGGCATGCGTAGCTCTTGACCCCTGGCAACAGCTACTCTTCCAACGGTCGTTTTAACCGAACAGCCCTGGGAAGACAGTGATGCTGCCCTTTTGACACAGATCTGATTCGCCCTTGGATGGGGAACCACCAGGAAATCCCAGGGCAGTGCCAAGCCACTTCCATAATGCGGTCTCAGGTTATAGTTACCCAACGTCTAGCAACAGGGCACACCTAGGGAAGCAAGATACCCGCCAAGTTTTAAAAATCAGGTTTCATGTCAAAAAAGAAGGGGTTAGGATACAGAATCCTAGAAACTGAGTACGCAAAACTCCCACTTTCATTTGTATGTGAATTTATTAAGGTGGGGTCCCTGTGAGTTCTTTGAACCCCCTTTTCCAGAAATGGAAGGGCCAATACCCCTTTCCCCCCATAAGCCTGGCCCTGAAACATTCATCTGCTCTTCCTTTAATGATGCTTTGACCTGCTCCCTGTTCCTCCTCAGCCTCAGCAAGTTCTCTTACTGCAGTTTTGGGGGGAACAGACTGACACCTATCAAGTACTACTGTGCAAAGCCAGCCGAAGGGGCATTCTGCCAAGTGGCCCAAGTGCTCTTCCCGCCCCACGGCTTGGTGCCACCAAGGTCCACCCACTGAGACAAGATGCTTCTGCTGGGAGAAACCCTGAAACGCCTTCAAGGGATACAGCCGCTCCAGGAATTTAAGCGGCAGATTGGCCAGTCATTTTGGGAGGTGTCCTGAATGCCTTTGCTCAGCCTTAGTGGGGTTACAAGTGTCTACAGAAATGGTAAACGCTTGCCGAGAAGCAGAAGGCAAATATGTTCTGGTTCCCCGTTTTGGGACACACGTCATCCAGCTATTCCAAAAAACACTGAATCTGTGTTTTGCAAGATACACAGGTCCCTGGGTAAGAAGACAGCAGAAAAAAAGATCAATTCGTTTTTATATTAACAGCTGGAGAGAACTTAAGCAGCTGTTTAAGCTGCTGTTGGTCTTTCCAAAACTGCTTTTCTAATTAGATCTTCTTGCCTCCATTGGCATCCTTCCCTTTCCACTCTCCCTCACCCTTTCCTGTCATTTCTTGCAGCTCACTTCCTCATTATGAACTCTGCACCCTTTTTATCCTTGCCCTTATTTTTCTACACTTCCTTTTTGCCTGTTAGCTTATCTGTATTTCTGTCCTGAGCCTATGATATCTTCATCTCAGCCAAATCAACAGTTTCTTTCAGTCCCTCCCCGAATCACTGTTTTCATTTCATTTATTTATGTATCTATTTATCTATCAAATTTGTCACCGCCCATCTCATTGAAACAACTCTATGCCATGCCGTCCCATCCTCACCTGGATGGTACAGGATAGATTTCTCTTCATATAGCCCATTACATGTATCTGAATCTATTGTTGCAGCAATACATTGTGGATAATCAAAAAGAAAGATTTGCAGATTTTTGTAATTGATTCAGCATTGTTCACCCTCTATTCTGGGCCTATTCTAGATAACTCTGTCACTCCACAAACTTCAAACGTAGCTGGGAAAACCTTTTGCCCGAGTCGATAAATTCTGAGTGACAGAAACAAATATTAGACCTATGAGATCAAACTGAATTTATTTTCTGCCTGTGAAGTTTGAATTTGTGAATTTGACAGGTTGTTTTAAAGGGCACGGGCACATAAAATAACATGAAAAGAAAAGAATCTTATGCCTAAATGAGAGTTGAAAGTTACCTGTCAGAAGCTGTTAGAAGTCTGCTGTGTTTTCTCCTGTAGCATGTCCTTTCCATTGTCAGTTTTAAAAGGTTAATACAGAATAAAAGAACAGTGAAACTAACCTTCCTTTGTGTAGTTTGATGCCTTCCCTTTCAAAACAACAGGTTTGCAGAGTAAAATAGCAGACCTCCGCTGCTTTTCTAAATTACCATTTGTTGTGCTCTGTCTAAAATGGAAAATTCCAGTTCTTGAAAAATTCCAATTCCAGTCTCAGCAGAAATCAAAGAATAAGTTTTTTATTTGTATTTTAGCCTATGCACGGTGCGGGTGGGAAGAAGGCAATAGAATTGTATGTGCCCTGCTCATTTGGCACATGTATCTGTCCTACCAGTGGCCCATGGACACAGGGTGTATTTAACTGTGGGCTTAGAAAAAGTCACTCACTCTATAGTAAAAAAATAGGTTACTTTCAGCTAATCAAACATGAGAAATTTGTCTATATTCCAGTTCCCTCTTGCATTTAGAGTAGTAAAATATAGTTTGTGTGTGTATGCACGCCTTTGAGACAGTCTTGACTCCTGGAGACTGTCTGGACAAGTCCCTGAAGTTTTCTTGGCACCATTTTGGGAAATGCCTTCTACCTGGGGTGGAGAGAGAGGGACTGGCCGAAGGTCACCCAGTTGGCTTCATCCCTAAGGCGCGACTAGAACTCACAGTGTCCTGGTTTCTAGCCCACTGACTTTAACCACCACACCAAAATATAGATAGGATAATTAAAGAAAGAAGAAAGGGAGTTAGGAATTATACATCTTGAGGGTGGTTTTTTTTGTTTTTTTGTTTTAGGAGAGTTTTATCACGTAGGGGCTTTCAGAAACCTGGGGAAGCTTAACTTCCAAAGTCAGCTTTATAGCTAGTCTTGGCAACTGATCCCTGCATTGAAGAGTAGGGCTGGGCTTGACTGGGCAGATTTGAGGGCAGGAGGGTGCTTTGAAGCATGTATAAGCTCTCACATGGCCCCTCTGCCACTCCTTAAAGTAGCAGCATCTGTTCCTGGGATTGTACAGCTGCCTTCCAGATTGTACAGCTGCAGTATAATCCCAAGAAAATACATGTTGGACTTCAGGAGTTAGATAGAAGGGGCTATATGTGCACCCATGGGCCCTCCAATCACCTTTTTTCCTTTGAACCCACAGCTTTGTTCAGCTCCAGTAAACAGCCTTCTCCACCTATCAGTTTGATGCTATAACCTAGGGTAGTTGTGCGTTGGTAGCAAGAGAAAGGAAATGCAACTGGATTCCAACTTCCTTGAGAAGTTCACATGGGCTTTACAAGCTTGGCTCAAAAGTGGGCTTATCAGCTGGAAAGAGATAGGAATCTACTGGACTTTCTTGCTCTTAGGAAGACAACGTTCTGATTATATTAGCTATCCATCTTTGGCTAAGAGGTTGCTGAGACCTTTAGGCAAATCTCTGATGTAAGGTGAACATTGGCTCTCAGGAAGAGAGGAGGGGGGAAATTGTCTGGATGATCCCCTCCCCCCGAGGTGAGACTGAGCCCATCCCTGCCAAACTTCCAGAAGTCCCTTAAAACGTGGCTATGTCAGCAGGCATGGGGATCTCAGGGAAATGGAGAACTAATGAGATGGCTACATTGCACATAATATTAAGATGCTCTCTCCTAGGCTTTTTAACTAATATTAATGTTTTTATTATGATATAAGTTTTAATGTTTGCTTTAATGTTTTTTTATTGTATGCCGCCCAGAGTCATGTATGTGAGATGGATGGCTATATAAATGTGATGAATTGAATGAATGAATGAATGAATGAATGAATGAATGAATGAATGAATGGAAAGGTGAGGAGGTAAAAAGTAGAACATGAACTACATAGAGTATTAACCAATTGAAAACCATCAAGGAAACACTGGGATGGGATTGGAACTGTTTCTCAAAGAGTTTAAAACTTAACTCTCTATTTAAATTCTCTTTTGTAGGCCTGCATGCAGTTTTTCCAATACCCAGATGCCTTTCTAACATCTTCTGTATAAAGAATAAGTCTGGTTGGGACTTCTGAAAGTAGTTACACTTCTACAGGCCAGTGGTTGGAGAAGCCCAATACCAGCTTCTATTATCTTTAATGTTATTGAAGGCTTCTATCATTCAGTTTTTAAATTAATTTAGTCCAAACAAGGATTGCAGTTGGGGAGATGGATTGCCATTTTTCTGTTTTGAGTATTGTTGAAAAAGTGAATTCTGTTATGATTACTCTTTTGCTGAGGACGTTACTGCGGTGCTAATTTCTCCAGGTGGAGCTGAAAAGGAAATACAATGACCAGCATTCCAAAGCAAGAGGTCTTTTGCCTGGAAGCCAATGGTATGAAATCCAGGCCTACAGAGCTCTCAACCAAGCCCTTGGCAGGTGAGTGGAACTAGATTATTCCTTCATATCTCCATCCTCAAAGTGTCTTGTGCTCTGCTGATCATTCCTGTAAATCAAAAACCTTTTAGGTGCTGACTCACCTATGTGGGAAGGCCACAGATCTATGCCAGAGATCTTTGTCTGTTTTTCCCTGCTGATCAGTCATCAACTGGGTGATGGAGAGAAGATGCCATTCTCTTCTAGAGAAGCCATTTGGGAAGAAAGAGAGAAGGAGATGGCAAATCACATAGAGGTACTTGTTAGAGCAGGGGTCCTCAACCTCAGCAACTTTAAGATGCTGGCTGGGGAATTCTTGGAGTTGAAGTCCACCCATCTTAAAGTTGCTGAGGTTGAGGAACCCTGTGTTAGATGGTTGGAATTGCAGTTGTTATTTTAAGCCATGCTACCTGTCATAATCATGAGTCTGCTGTTTGGATTGGTAATGGTTAGGATTTGTCTTGGTCCAGTCCCCCTACCACTTTTATGTAATTTACCAGGCCATAGAGAAAAAGCCACCAGTGAGACACCAAGTAGAAAGTGAGCAGATAGTATGTAACAGAAGTGTGGAAAGAACAGAGGAATATATTATATATGAACAGCAAGAAGAAGTGGAAGAGATGAAAGCGGGGATCAGATTGGAGGCCAAAGCACTAACAAACTTGAGATATACAGATGAAACCACTTTATGAACTGAAAGACTTAGAGGGCACATTCGGAAAGTATACATGGAAAATAGAGAACCTGGGTTAATGTTAAATATGAAACAGACAAAGGTTATGTCGATGAGCACACAACTGTCAGTGAAGAAATGAAGATAGCACATGGTTTTGTTTTCTTATAGATAAGGTTGGGCAGTGTGCTGGAGAAGTAAAGAGGAGAATAATCCCAAGGAAGAAGGCAATGACAAGCTTAGACAATATTAGGAAGAATAAGGATATTTCTGTGACAACAAAGATCAAAAGAGTAAAAGTGGCATTTTTTTCAGTGATAAGGTATGGCTTTGAAAGTTGGACATTGCAAGAGCAAGAAAACAGATCCCCTTGAATGATGGATTTGGTTGTTACTATATGTACCAAAAACCAATCGATCCATTCTGGACTTTTGGCTTTTAGAGAGTAGGGGCAAGGAAAAGCAAATGATAGAATATATGTAGCTGTGCAAACTCTGCCTCTTTTGTACTTGCATCGTGACATCACATGCATGTATGTTGGGGGGGAGTTAGAGTTGTGATGTCACAACATACACTTCATCGTTTTGATGTACTGGGTTCTACCGGATGCATCTGTCCTGGACCAAATAAAGGTTGGCTGCTCCTTTGACATTATAATTAGAAAGTAGAAACTCATTATCTGGGCATGTAATGCAACCAGATGGTGGACTAGAAAGCTTCAGGGAAGTAAAAGAAGATAAGGTGGATGGATCAGATTCAGGAGATCATTAAATGGAAGAGCTACGATTTACCACTAGAGAGAGGTCAAAATGGCAGACCTTTTCTTCCTACAGTTACCAGGAGTCAGGTCTGACTCAATGGTGTCTTAATTTAGCAAACTTCAAAGAATAGACAATGTAAGCTATTCTAAATTTTGGCTCCTGGAGACTTTATGGGAATATACAGTATGTGAAATTGTTTGACAGTGAAGTTATTGAAGTAGTAGATAATTTCTGCCTTTTAGCATCAGCTATCAACAATAAAGGAACCAGCAGTGAAGATACACACCCTAAATTAGCACTTGGAAGGTAGCAATGAAGGCCTTGGAAAAACTATTCAGATGCCCTGTCTCTGCCTACAAAAATCAGAATCATGCAGGCAGTGGTTTTCCCTGTGACACTCTATGGAAGTAAAAGTTGGACTTTAAAGAAAGAATATTGAAACTTTTGAACTGTGGTGTTGGAGAAGACTCCTAAAAATACCATGGATAGCCAAAAAAATCAAACAAATGGGTCATAGAACAAATCAATCCACAGTTTTCCCTTGAGGCACAAATGATCAGGCTCAAATCATATTTTGGACATATTATGTGAGAAGCCCATAATGCTGAGAAAGGTGGAAGGAAAGAGAAGAGGATGACCAGCAGCAAGGTGGAGGGACTCAGTTACAGCAGTGATGGGGGCACTGTTGGAAGACTTGAAGAGCCAGGTTGGGGACAGATCCTTGTGGAGGTCTATCTATGTGGTCACTAAGAGTCAATACCGATGTGAATATTTAGCTGAGCTATCAAAAGTGCTTTTTTATAAATGCAAAATATGTGATTTATCAACATATTTTATTAAAAAAGGAAGCACCCATGTTTCTCCTTGGTAATTCTACCAACTGGACAAACTTCTTTTCAGTCTTCACTGATGCTTCTCTGGAATAGACTATTACAGGAGGCTTCTAAAAGTCCACTCTAATAGTGATGCATCAACTTCGTCAGCATCTCAGTATCATCTCCATTACGCAGTGTTTTATAAAGGAGGGCACAGGCTTGCTGCCTCAGGCAATGTTCCTTTTGGAGGCCAACTGTGGTTTAGTGATAGAGCAGATGTTTTTCAGGTAAAAGTCCCCATTTTAGTTCCTGATATCTCCAGTTAAAAAGGCCCTTCTCTGCTCAAGAACCAAACAGTATCAGTCACAGCAAACAATACTAAGCCAGATAAACCAATAATCTGATTTGCTTAAAAGCAACCTCTTATATTTTGGACCTCTGAAACTCTAGAATCAAAGAATTGTGGGTAGAGAGAAAAATAAGGCAGCCTCCTATATTCCTACGAGAGGAAGGTGGTGAGTTGGAAAGTGCAAGAATGAACAAGCAAGCCTCAACAGGCATTTGCAATTATTTATTTTACTACAAGATTTAGAAATATTTTAGGTCACCTTTAAGGGAAGCTTACATATTTAAGAACCCAGTACAATAGAAATGTAACTGCTGTTAAGAAGATCGGAAGCCACTTCATTATAACTCCTTTCCTTTCCTTTCCTTTCCTTTCCTTTCCTTTCCTTTCCTTTCCTTTCCTTTC